TTGAGAGTGACACTTGTTTTCCAAATTTTCATTTTTTGACATCGACCTTAGATGATCCTAGCCCAAAAACTCATGTTGGCAAAGAATTTAAATTGTACGTGCATTATAAGAGGAAGTATTCCTTTAACCTAGCGGCTCCTGCTCCTGTATCTCAAGTTTTGAGGGAGACACTTGTCATCCAAATTTTAATTTGACATTTTCATTTTAACATCGACCTCAGATGATCTTAACCCTAAGGATGTCATGTAATACTATAATTTTTATTTCAGAATGTAGTTACAAGTATTTGAATAAAACATGTTTAACATCGAATTACTTTAACTATGATTACACGTCAACTGAAGATGACCAATGTGATGAAAATTGTAAATCTATTACTGGGTGTACCGCTTCATTATTTGAGGTCAATTATTGTCTTCATTACAAAGCTCCAGTCATCTTTGTGTCAAATGATCTAGATCTAAATCAATGCATTGAAAAGTGTAAGGAGAGGAGTGACTGTGTAACATTGAACAGTTTTATAGGTTTTTACAATATATGCTTTTTATTGAACGTTAGCCTGGCTGAGCTACCTGATGGTTCGACATATGAAAGTAATAGATGTACCATAGTAGAAAAAATATGTTAATTAAAACATGTTTATCATGATAAATCTTTTTTTATTTACTTTAAGTATCAGAACTAACCTGAAATTTGGGGTGGTGGGTTGACATCACTAGTGAAATGTTGGGAAGCTAATGAGGTTCCCTACTCCAAAAAAATCATCCCTTAAAAGAACACTACCTAAGGATGAGCAAAACATTTATTTTTTAAACTTGTCCGAAATGAGTATTTATTCATCAGTGGACTCACCTAGTGTTTAAACTTTACAACAGAATTTTCTCATATGACCTGATAAATCCATAAAACTACAAAAGTAATTATAAAAATGAAAATGCTAATACTTATATGAATAGAAAGTAGAGGTGTTCTAATGACTTGGAAAAATACCAGTTTGTCTCACATGTCCATAATTAATTCATAATTAGTTAAATTAGAAGAGAATTACCAGCAGAATTCCAATGAGTGACTGATCAAGAAAGGTTAAAAATTCTTTTTTTGTTTATCCAGACTGTACATACATGGACATTTATGATTGGTTAAAACTCTTAATTATATGCAATAAGAACATAATGATATGATTAAGAATACATGATAACTCATTAAAAACACAAATTAATCAAATAGTTTGCTTAATTTGGCACTAGAAAATAAGGAGACCCATCTTTAATGGATCTATTTTCATAAATAGGGTGCATGTTATTTTGTTAAGGCACCAGGTAAGTCCACTGTGAATTTAGACTCATTTTTTCTCAAGTTAGAGAATTGATATTTTATGTGCATTGTTGGAGGGAGTAACCTAGCTATTCAGACATGATGTATACGGATGGGATATTACTTATCAGCTGTCAGAAATCAGCAAATGTTGACGGACGGACGGACCGACGGACGGACAGGGGTGCCGACAATATACGTCCACATAGAGAGATGTGGGCGTATAAAAAAGCTATGGATAGCTGAAATTTATATTTGAAGGGCAACAGAGTGAAATGGTTGAAAATTTAAACTTGACCAAGATCTCATCAATAGAAATAAAAAGACATAAAACTCTAACACAATTTCATTTCATTTAAATTATCAATATAAATCAATATTTCTTGTTAACACAATAGAGACTACAGTTTTTATCTGATTTTAATGAAACTTAATGTATATTGATGAGATTTTGGATCAAATTTGACGATTTTTCAATGAATGACTTTTTGAGTTATCGCCCTTGTCTTAGGAAAAACACGTCAAAATTTGTTAGTGAACACAATAGAGACTACAGTTTTCAACTGATTTTTATGAAATGTGGTGTGATCATTTATATTGATAATATCTTAGACAAGTTTGAATTTGAGGATCTTTTGAAGAACGGTTTTTGAGTTATTACCCTTGACTTAGGAAAATCTCATCACAATATCAGTAGAGTCTCTGTTTACTGGGAATTTCAATTAGCTATTGATCATAACAAATACACAAAGAAAATCAGGACATTTGAGAAAAAAACTTAAAATTATTAGCTAAATTAGCTTAAATTTCCTGATAAAATTATTACTGTTAAGAAAAATTAATAATGACCTTTAAGTACTTAACATGCCTATC